CACACACACACACAGACACAGCAGGAGTTAACCGTCACATAGTTGTATTGTCCGTCTGCAGACGAATGCAGGAGGATGTTTTCAGGGTGATTTAAGTGTTCGTGAAAGGTATCTGATCCTAATCTGTGGTTTTATTTTGCAGTAATGACTAAAAGTCACAAAAACTACAATAAAGTAAAAGTTCCTGCTGTGTTTTTAAGCTTCAGATGAATCAGTAAAATGACAGGATACTGTATGTTGCTGCTTCACACAGGTGAGACTGGACTAATCTCTGCTGACCAGCAGGTGCAGTCAGCCGTGGCTGCAGAGCGTCACACTGAAGTCGGGTTTTATTTACTGAATTCATCGCTGTGGGTTCGTACCTTCAGTTTCCAGCTGGATGCTGTCGATGGAAAACTGAAAAGACAAAGAACAAAGAATGTTATTTATCAGTTTGTCTGGACTTCATTGCTGGATTTTAAAGATTTTAGTTGGTTTTCTGTCCTCTAAAGGCCACATAACTGCACCATGAGGCAAATACCAGTTTTAACTGTCCTGTAACTTCTCACATACAGTCCGAGGTCTTTATTTACCTCCATTTAAAGCTGCAGAAATTTGGAAAAAAGTTTTTTCTGGAGCAGCGTACAATGAGGTATCTACGTCTCTATATGTACGATCTGGCTCTTTTCTAGTGCAGCATCTTTAAGACTTCACTGTGGCTGAAAGAAAACAACCAATGTAAGCCACAAGCAGTCGAGCTGCCCCCCCCCACGCTGCTGCAGGAGGAGCTTTATAAACACTGAAACCACCAGTGTAATGAAAAAGGAGAGCTTATTTATTCTAGTGTTTTTAATTTATTCTCTCTTTGGACTTTTAGAGCCTGAAGCACTTTCATCTTTATCATATCTCACGTTGGTCTTTTACTGCGAACCAAATCTACTTCTGGGTCCAAACAAAGGAACACTGAACCTACAATGGAATAAGTAGTGAGAAACAGAAGTATTTATATTGTAATAAACTGATGGAGAGAGATGTGTGGGGCCAGTTGTGTTTGGTTTTTCTGTTAAATGTTTTATTTTGTTGAGTTTCTTTGTTGTCATCAGTGCTACAGTGAAAACGTACATTATGCTGAATTCACCGAATCAGTGAAATATATGTGAGAATATTTAGTAAACAAATCATGTAACAGCATATGTTTACAGCACTGGACCACCAGGTGCTTTTCTACTACAAGGAGTTATAAACAGTTTAACTCTGAATGCCTCTATTTGATTCCTTGTCCATAAGTGTTACACTGCAGCTCAGCGCTGTAACTGGCGGCCATATTTCAGTAAGGAAAGAGCAGAAGTACTCACGACGACGGGCTTCGTCACCATCCGGCGTAGAGTTCCTACTCTTACGCTCCGACACTCCAGGATGATGCTGTCACACTTGGACACGACTTTGGGCTTCTTCGCCCTCGGTGAGAACTGCTCAGGAGGAGGCTGATTCCCAAACTGCAAAAACAAATGTAACTTTAGGGAGAGTTTTATTTTACTGCACATTAACGTCTAGTTTATTCAGAGGGAAATACAGCAAATGACTCCTCTCCTTTGTGGCTCGGCAGTAATGGATCAATGAGTCAGGGTTTCCATCCCCAGCGAGCTCCCTGAACACCGAAGAACTCACGATACTCTCAATAAAAGACTGCATCAAATATATCAAGCTTCAGATCTTTTTACGCTCCTTTGTTTTTCTTAAAGCCTGCAGTGTTTCACTTCAGTGCAGCACCTGGTGGCCTAGTTTACTCTGGAGTATCACACACACACACACACAAAACTAAAGTAATGAGTATGTACGGTGAAGAAAATACAGACATGTGTGTGAAAAAGGGTTACAAGTGGACAAAGAAGAAGAGATGTTTCAATTCTTTAAGTTTACATCCACAGTTGTATATTTAACAATTTATTACAAAAAAAATTATAAATATCGAAAAGCATTTCTTTACAGAAACTGTAGTGTGGTGGTTTTAAATAAAGATAATAGTCTAAACTTATATTAAAATGTAGAGTTTTTATTCAAACAATAAGCAGCCTTGTGCAAATGTACAATACAATTCAGAGAGGTAATAACATGAAGACCATTGACAATATATATATATATATACACAAATATATATATATATATATATAGTGTATATATATATATACAAATATATATATATATATATATATATACACTATATATATATATATACGAGATATAATAATACATTTTATTTAAAAGAGCGCTTTTCTGAATACTCAAAGACACTGTACAATATAATAAAAGAAGAATACAAGAACATCAATAGGTAAAAAACAATATAAAACAGTACATTACATATGTTAAAAACACACTTAGACTCCAGATTTTAAAAGCAATTTTTGAAAAGGTGTAATATGATATGATTATATTGCATATGTAGTAATAGATATTGACTATACAATAAATACACATGCAATAGATAATATCTTATATATTGTTATATAATAATTAATAATATAACTGAATAATAATAATATAATTTGTAAACATTATAATAATCAACAGTAAATGATAATATAAAAATTAAATATAAAATAATATATTGTGTAAATATGATATATTAATATCAACCATGGTTTAATATTAAACACATATACACATAAGAAGTAAATATGTTCCCAGGGTAGATTTGCCCAGTTTCTGTGATTGTGGAGTCTGACAGAGGCAGATGAGTTATGAAAGTCTTATTACAGTGGGGAGGAATGAATTTTTCTATATCGTCTTCTTAGAGCAGCGGGTTGAATGAAGTCTGTTGCCTAGCTGCTCTTTAGCTTGTCCAGTGTTGTGTGGAGGGGGGTGGGAGGGATTGCCATGAAATTGCCAGCAGTTTTGGTCAGCCATCCTCTCGCTCCAACCCCACCATCCTCCACGGGTGACAAGCTTAGAGCCAAGCGACAGATCCTGGCCTTCTTAATGAGTTTGTTCAGAGCTTGTTGGCGTCTTTCCCTTGATGCCCGCACCCCAGGTAACCACAGCAAAAGAAGATGGTGCTCGCCACAACAGACTCATATGGAGAGGGCGAGCGGCTTGTTCCTCCTAAAAATCCCAGCCACCATCTCGCTCTTGTCTTTGCCACGTTCAGCTGCAGAGTGGTTCTCCCCATCACTTCACAAAGCGGTCGCCGGTTCCCTGTACTCAGCGTCCTCGCACCTTCACACACGCCACGGATAGCCGTGTCATCAGAGTATTTCTGCAGATGACCGACTCAGTGCAGTACATTTTTATGTTTATTTTTTTAAAGTCTGCCAGTGTAGGTGGTGAGAGGAAAGGGACAGTACAGTTACCTGGGGGCCCCCAATGTTACTATCAGATGGTCAGACAGCCACAGTTCTTTAATCTCAAAAACTGTGGTGCTGCCCGTCCAGATAGTCATCGACCGTGTGATGAGGGGAGCACCCACCTGGTGTGTTCTCCAGTTTGGCCTTCCAGCAGTCGGGCTGGAAGGTGTTGAAGGCGCTGGAAAAATCAACAGAAACATGACGCGACCTTCGAGGCAGGCAGGATGTTTCCAGAGCACTGCACCTCTCTGAAGGTGGCAGACTCAGGTTGAAGAGGTGCCTGAAAACTCCACGAGCTGGCGGAACAGTGCCTCAGCAGCGAGGCTAATGCAGTCCGGTCCTAGCAGCTTTCATCTGTTTGAGCCTCTCCAGCTCTTCTCAACCTGGCTTGGATGTGATGGAAGTCCAGATTGGGGGGTGGGGTATGTGCAGGGTCTGCGATGGGTGTCAGCAGTAGGGTTGGGAATATATATTTTGAGACAATGTAAAGGATAAACAGCAAAAAACATACATTTTGAATCCACTGGACATTTACACTGCAGGCTGGTGTGTAGTGTAGCTCTTACACAGGTAATGTTGACCAACAATAGGGTGTATTTGGCCATTCAATGACACCGGACTGCATTTTCTGCAGTTTGGCACCAGGAAATAAATGGCAGAGTAATACATCTTTGTATTTTCCTAGTCTCTGCTGAGATGGACAATATCTTCAACCTTTTAATTTTGGTATTTACAGAAACGATGTATATCATGGATCATTGCAGTCTTTAGCTGTATTTGGCATCATCATGTCTTCATTATAAACAAAGCAGAGGCCAGCAGTTACAGTAGGGGATTTAATGGAAATGTCACCACTCATTAGAAATGACACATGTAAACTTTGCGAAACAGAGAACCTGGTTTATTACCATTCAACTCCATCCACCACAGATATTACAGAGCAGATTCACAAGTATTAAGCTTTTTTTATATAACAGCAGCTGCTTTTTTTCCACACTCTGTTCCCCTGACCCCCAATCCCCCTGCCTCCTACTAGGGAAAAGCATTACAGGTGCACAATTTTATTTGGTGTGAAGACTGGCCCCTCAATTCATTCAGCTGTAATCAGT